GGCTTTTGGGGATTTCCCCCCGGACGGGGATTTGAATCCCCAAAAGCCGGACATGTCCGGGAAAATCCGGACGTATGGTAACCCTATTTTACTGCTGTCCATACTGCCATTACCCCCACCTTCTAGGCTGAATTAGCCCTGGTGGATATATTGCGCTCTTCACTGGTAAGCAGAAGTTTTCCAGTCAGTGCAGTAGCAGGACAGGACAACTCGCTGAAGACTCCCCCTTCCCTGCTTTGTCAATCATATTTTTCATAATATTTTATAATTACTTATGATCATTATCTACCTGTGACCAGGGTCCTATCCTCCACTGTGCAGGGCAAAGTGCTCGATTGCAAGACCTTTTGCCTTCTGGACGATCATTGTTGCAATATTTGGTATGAACAGAACGATTTGTGTTGTCATGCAGGGGTTGGATACACCGTACAGAACGTACTTGATATCCTGTTTTTCCACAGCTTTTGCTGCAGGGCTCCCAATCTCCTGTAACCCATCTGGTTAATGAAAAACAGGACATGTGAGGTAAAACTCTCTCTCTCTCATACATTAGTCATGTCAAAAATATTTATTGAACTATAATTCTTAAATTTCAGGATTAGCAGTATGTTGATCTTGATCCCAATCTAGTAAATGAAAGAGGATAAGTAAAAATTACTAAATGTTCTGGGAGGGCTGAATTAGCCACAGCACTGAAGCTGACAGTAAGTGGGCTAAATGCATCCAAGCAGTGTCTTCTGCACTGGAAAAAGAGTGCAATATGGGTCCTTCGGTCAGTCTGTCTGTGGTAGCACTTATGGCTGTTGTAATTAGGATTGATTTAGTGTGTCTTACCATTCCAAGCAAGCTACTGGCAAGAAGGAATTTAGCTGATCAACTTAATATTTTTAGATCCAGCACTGCAGCAGTTAATACTGTGACAGGTTTGTGTTGTAAAGGATCTTGAAGAAATAGCAGATAAAACTGAACTTTGCATATAGGGGAAGCTAGAAGAATTCTAAATCTCTTGGCTAAATCTTGCCATACACATCTCAGATAGGTTATAAAAAGAAAAGGGAACACACACACACATGCAGATACATTTTTGAGAATTTCAGAATTTTTTGCACTGGCATAATACAAAATGAGGTGTTCCAGAACCAAATCTGTTACATGATTAATTCTTTAATAAGGAGAAATCACTGTCTATTCTGAAAAATAGCATTGAAAGACTAATGCTCTGGACTTGCACAATGTGAAATTTCATCTGTTGTAGAGTTATTTTTGGTGTCTAGCGGTTCAGTACCACCATTTTGAATTCAGTGCTCTCTATCATTGACAAAACTGTATCCAATTTGTGTTTTTTATCACCTTATGTGCAACTGGCAAAAGAGGTGTTTTGTCTTTAATATTAAAGATGTAAGCAGGTTGGGGAGAAACATTTGCATACCTATTTCAAAGCTTGCACCTTTCTACTCCTATTGAGGCCCTCCCTACACTCATCTCACAATAACTTGCTTTCTTAACTTTTTACTGTGCACAGGATTATTAAATTCTTGTAAGTAGATGGCAGCTCAGCTACAATTATACTGTAGTTCAAAGCATAACAGCCAGAGGCATGAAACCCATTATAATGAAGGTCACATCTCTTCCTACCATACTTCAGTATTGTATCACGTGAGTTCACCTGGGGCACCAGTGTAGTAATGCTTTCTAACGGTGGCACAATTAGAGGTTCTTTATTTCTGAGATGAAGGCGTCAATATTACTTCATTTCATTTATTTTGGTTATAAGCTGGTCCTTTAAGGACTGCATGTAAAAGGGCTGAGATCTGCAAAGGAGACTAAAGGAGTTAGATACCCAATTTACATTGATTTCCAATGGCATGTGGGCACCTAACACTTTTAGGCTCCTTTTGAGACCCTTACAATAAATTCTGTTTACCTTCAGAGAGAATAGACCAAACACACAAATCACTGATAGGGCTAGGAAAAGAAAAAGGAAAATGTTACTTTTTTTCTCCCATAGTATTATCTCAACGTGAATATTTCCACTTAACTTCTCTTTCTTCGGAATTCTCTAATGAGGCCCCTACTCGTTACAGGCCCACGTTTGGTGCACTGTCCAGATACCTATTACGGATTTACTATTTCAAAAGTTAAAAAACAAACAAAACCAACCAGCCCTAAGATAAAGTAGTATTAAGTGGTCGTATGCAGTGTTGTAGCCTTGTCAGTACCAGGATATTAGAAAGACAGGGTGGGTGAGGTAATATCTTTTATTGGACCAGCTTCTGTTGGTGAGAGAGAGCTGTGTGTGGTTCAAAAGTTTCTCTCCCTCACCAACAGAAGATATTATCTCATCCATCTTTTCTCTCCAGTATTAAAGGGTAACATTTTCAAAAGCGCCTATAAAGCCTAAAATGGCTTAAGCAACTTAGGAAGCTAAGTTCCATTGACTTTCATTCACTGTTATATTGATGTTCAGTGGGACTTCGTACTAGATTTACAAAGCTGTTTAGGAGCCTAAAGATACAGACAGGTACCCAATGGGATTTACAAAACTGCATAAGCAGGTTAGGGGCCTAACTCCCAATGAAAGCCAAAGGGAATTAGGTGCCTTTCAAATCTCACTAGGCACCATTCTGCATCTTTTGGCATCTCCTAAGCAGCTTTGTAAAATCTGGCCCTTAGGGTCCTAAGTCAGATGCTTTTGAAAATTTCACTCAAAATCTACAACAAGTTTCTCAAGTTTAGTGCAATTAGTTATGTGAATCAGAAGTCATAAGGTCTTAATTATTGGTGTGCGAATGTTTCCAAATATAAGCAATCCCATCTACATGTATAACACAATAATTCCATGTTAGATCCCTGGATACCAATCTTAGCAGACCTGTCTTTTGCAGATACTCTGAACTGAAAAGAACAATTTCTCTGCAGCTTCCCTAACAGTAGCTATGCGTAAACCTCTAATAAGACTACATCTACACTACAGCCGCGATTGACGCTCTGAGATCGATCCACCAGTGGCCGATTTAGCAGGTCTAGTGAAGACCCACCAAATTGACAGCAGATCGCTCTCCAGTCGACCCCTGTACTCTACCCCCGATGAGAAGAGTAAGGTAAGTCAACGGGAGAGTTTCTCCTGTCGACCCTCCGCGGTATAGACCCCGCGGTAATTCGACCTAAGGTACATTGACTCCAGCTATATTATTCATGTAGCTGGAGTTGCGTAGTGTAGGTCGACTTACCGTGGTAGTGTAGACATAGCCTAAATAATTCATGCTGAAACCAACAGGGAGATAAACCACTAAAGCAACTGTCGATGGCAGAGGATGGGGTTATAGCTGTAATTCTTACAGATGAGTTTACTCAGAGAGGGTGACAGTTCAACCAATCCCCTAGAAGAACCATGAAAAATATGGACTCATTTGCCAGAAGACTGAAAGCCAGAACCGAGCTGTTCATCAAGTAATTTTGAAGACTTCAAAGCAATATATCCAGTCTCTCTTAGGAGCAACATTAAGGGCTCCTAAATCCCCGCAGTAATATTTTAAAGAATAGAATATTAACCACTCAGCGTCTTGTATTGTTCTGCATTCAGTATTGTACAGAACACGTAGACAGCTTGATTACACTGGGACGTTCATACTGAGACTCTTGTAGGTATACATTCCCTTTTTGATGCAGATGCACACATCCCGTTAGTGCTAACAGAAGTTGCGTGCATAACCAAGAGGAGAATAACATGTCACTTTTATTTTTCTTTTCTATGTGGTCCTTGTTACAAAAGCTGTTTGTCTTTAGAAAACTGTCTCTAGTAGAATCTAAATTAGAGGTGTTGTGGTCAGAATGCCTCAGGTCCCTTTTCTCCTCCCGTGGGGATTATGTGGAGGGGCAGGGTGAAGCAGTAAGCTACTGAAGGCCACAAAGGAGGCAGAGGAATATCTGGGGAAACTATCAGCTCGTGGCAGAAAAGAAGAGGGAGGGAGGGAGGGAGCGTCAAAAAGCTCAACATCATTTTGGGGACTTCTTTGATCCATCTCTGTATACCATCTCCCCACAGCATTAGACACCAAGAATATTGCAAAGGGGAAGTGCTTTCTCTCTACAGTGGAAGCTGTTGTGGTATATTTGATGCTTAGCCACAGAGCAGATGAAATTTAGTTTTGCTGATGATGTGCAGTGTTGTAGCCATGTTGGTCCTAGGATATTTGCTAACTATGTAATATTTCTAATACAGTTTTCATAGAATCATAGGGTTGGAAGGGACCTCAGAAGGTCATCTAGTCCAACCCACTGCTCAAAGCAGGACCAATCCCCAGACAGATTTTTACCCCAGTTCCCTAAATAGCCCCCTCAAGGATTGAACTCACAACCCTGGGTTTGGCAGGCCAATGCTCAAACTACTGAACTATCCCTCCCCCTCACAGAACTCTGAGCTTATTCTTCCCAGTAGTGAGGTTTCACCTTCTTTCACAATGGCAGAAGACAATGTTGCCACCATACCACTGAGTACCATAATGTTCTGTGGAGATCTGATAAGGGTCTCTTGAAATAAATCAATAAATAGTCCTTTAAAAATTACTATTACAGCCTAGCTGATCTGGGGACATTTAGCTATAGATGCACAGAAATAACAATTTCCTTGGTGATGGTCAGAGTGGCTGACTTCAGTTAACTGACTGATGCTAAAATGAGAAGAGCTGTGAGGCCCAGGGAGGACAGAGAAATAATACACAGGGACCAAGAGAGATTAGAAACATGGGAAGAAAATAAAGTGAAATTCATCTTGGAAAAACACAAGCAAATACAACTGGGGAAAATAACCCCAAACACAAATACCCAGTGAGAGGGGGGAACTGGAGAGCAGCGGCGCTGATCTATCTACAGATGAACCAGAAAAGCAAATTAGACAGCAGACAAAATTTTCAAAAGTACCTCAGGCACCTATGTCCCATTTTGAAGAGTAGTGAAGGTACTTAGAAGTGTAAATGTAATTGAAAGTCAATGTGACTTAGGAGTTGAAGTCCCATTTTTCCCCCAAAATGACTGAGGAGCTTGAGTCACCTTGCAGGGTCCGAGAGCCTAGGCTCCAGCCCTAGCCCAGAAGTCTCCCCAGCAATGAAACAGCTGGCATGGCCAGCAACAGGTTTTCCTTTGCTGTGTAGACATACACTTAGGCACATTTGAAAATTTTACCCATGTTTTGCAATGTGGTATGGCTGAAAACTCCTCCATGACTGCCCCTAGAACACTGTATTACATTCTGGGCACAATTTTGCAAGAACTATAGTGACAAAGTGTAAGGAGTGAGGGACTGGAGGATATTTACAAGGAATTCTGAAAGGTGGGCTAAGTGATGACAAAGTGGGTGCACATGATCACAAATATTTAAGGGATGCAAAAACCAAGAAGAGGGGATATTATTTAGTGTGGTACATGCAGGTACAATTGGCATAAACTAAATATAAATATAGACTGAAAAATGCCCTAAGTTTGAGATGTGTTAGGCAGTAGAAGAGTTCCACAAGGGAGCTGATGGAAATATCATTACTTGGGACATTTAAAGTTTGTACAAAGCACTAGAAAAGGTGGTGTAGGGAATAGTCCTGCATTGACCAGGCGATGGACTGGTGACCTCATACATCTCTTGTTTTTAACCTCTGATTTTATGAAATTACATATTAGAGGAGTAAGGCAACAATCCTTGGAGCACTATAGGAAGAGGATCTCAGGGACAATTGAGTTTCAATGATCCTCCATTAATTATGAGGGAGCCGCAGCTTACAGTTTTATTCTGTTGGCTTCAGTGCTAAGGAGTCCAATCGAAATCTGTCTCGCCTATGAACGAGAAGGAGGTCAGCCTGGAAAAGTCCATCTGAAAGTGGGGAAGGTTGAAAGAAAAATATTCTGTGGGGAAAGGCCTAAAATGTTGGTTGAATCCAGGCCCCATTTAGGATTAAAGCCACCTTCTAGGTGAGAATGAAGTTACCAGTTTAATTAGAGAGGGGCCCAACCAAAACCCTGGATCAGAGACTACGCAAACATTGGGGGTTTAGAACCAGATCCTGATATTAATTTTGTAGCTGGCTAATAACTCTATAATGGGCTGAGCTAAAACTCCAGATCCAAGCACCCTTATATTTGGGGTCTTTGAAATCCGTATCTGAATTTTGTGGTTCATGTGCATGTGTAATTTAATTTTACTTTCATTTATAGTTTTACTACCTAGAAAGGAGCTTATAACTGAGTAATAGAAGACTGTAGCTTTACACAGAGAGTTCTAATTGTGGTCATTAAGTCATTGCTGGTAAATAAACTTGTAAAACCATGATCTTTGTTGTGTTGATGGGGCAGAGTTATTTGACTTCTCCTTCTCTGGTGTTTGTCTTTGGAAGGGAGTTTTAAAATATTGGCTGGTATTGTCTAGTTATTCATCACACGCATTGGAATCTAGACTTGGTTGCCAGAGATAAAAGCTGTAGATCAACTTACTCCTTACTTGTTGCGGTAGCAACAGGGGAAATATGTGAGTCCTACATGTGACAGGGTTAACTTGCTGCCAGTCAAAAAAGCACCTGTAAAATGTGAATAAATACATCCGTAATAATTTACTATATACAACAACAAGGAAGCACAAATAATAACCTCTTAAAATGCTGTCCTGGGATATCCATGGAAATCAACATAAATGTTTCAGCAAAAACTTGCATGAGCCAAACCATTCCCGTCCCTGACCTTTGCAGCTTTAAAAATATGCTGAGTTTTATTGGTGTTTGTATTAGAAATGTGTGACATTTGTTCTCTTAAATAACACTCTATATGCTTGCTGTTATATAGTTAAATTCACATTCTGTAAAATCAATTTATATGACTTCACTTCTGGTCCATTGAATACAAGTGTCTGGATCAAGACGGGGGTATTTTTCTGATCCAACCTAACTCAGAATCAGCAGGAACTGTCATTCCCAGAAATAGTGTTTCTGCGAGCAACACTTTAGCAATGACATTGTGTCATTGCATAACACTATATAGGCAATGATGTAAAATAATGGTGAAGGGCTCCTAATCTGAAACAGCCATGTGTCAGAGTAGGTAGGTATATGGGGATAGCTGAAAGCACTTCGTTCCAGTTGACCATTAGCATTAACTGGACATGGGCTATGACCAATTCTAAGGGACAGCAAAGCTTACATTGGTTGGGAACATTCCTGCAGATTGCACACTCTGCGAATAGGCTTTGGCTTTTGGATCGTCTCGCAGAATCTCCGATGAACCATCTTGTGGTCTGTCTTCCTCCGGCAGCCATATTTCGTAAACTGATAACCTTAAGAAAGATACTTCTTTTATCTTCAGCATTTACAATACTTACACACAACTCAAATTGTATTTGTCCATGAAGTGGCTAATGGTGTATTTTGAAGGTAGGTGACCATTCTACAGGATTGTAGATTGCACCTGGTTAGCATTTACTCTACTCATTACAAGCAGCTACCTATTTAGCACCCAGAACTACCAGTCCTCTTTGTCTTCTCACAACAAAGCTATAATCACAATAAATAACTGACTCTTCCGGAAGCGTGCAGACAAGAGCAATAAAAATAATTATGGGTATGGAACAGGTTCCATATGAGAAGAGATTAAAAAGACACAGACTGTTCAGTTTAGAAAAGAGACGACTAAGGGAGGATATAGATAGAGGTCTATAAAATCATGAATGGTGTGGAGAAAGCGAATAGGGAAGTGTTATTTATCCCTTCACATAACACAAGAACTAGGCATCTCCCAATGAAATGAATAGGCAGAAGGTTTAAAAGCAACATAAAGAAGTATTTCTTCACACAACATACAGTCAACCTGTGGAACTTATTGCCAAGGGATATTGTGAAGGCCAGAAGTATAACCAGGTTCAATTAGAATTAGATAAGCTCATGGAGGATAGGTCTATAATTGTCTATTAGCCAAGATGGTCAAGGACTCAATCCTATGCTCTGGGTGTCCCAAAAACCCCAACTGCCAGAATCTGGGACTGGATGACAGGGGATGATCACTTGCTAAATTGCCCTGTTCTGTTAATTCCCTCTGAAGCATCTGGCACTGGCCACTGTCAGAGACAAGATACGGGGCTAGATGGACCTTTTGTCTGACCCAGTATGACAGTTTTTATGTTCTTAAAGGGGCACCTCTTGGCATTAAAAGGGTAAAAGTTTCATCAGTGTCCTCTAAATCTGCACACCTAAAAGAGCAGCCAAACAGCACAGCAGCTGAAACTTCCTATCTCCAGGCAGCGCTGGTCACCAGCATTAATCAGGATCAGGGTCTAGTACTCACTGATCCCTAAACTGGAGGCTAAGATCACTGGACACAAAGGATTTGGAATTCATCTGCCAATGGGTGTGATTTGTGTTACGTGCTTGAAGTTTTGACATGCTAGTTTTCATCAGCACACAGCCAACTCGTATATGATTGGTACAATTTCTCAGTAACAGACAAGGACAAAGAAACTGTCATACCAGATGTGACCAAAGGTCCATTTCAGCCAGATATCCTGTTTCTAGGAGCAGTAAGGGATGCTCCCGACAGTTATGGGATAAGCTGCTCAAAGAGGAAGCTTGTTCCTAACCCTATGCTTGTGTTCAGCTTGTATCCAGAAGCATGGTGGTTAATATTCCTTACACATTTTTTCCAGTCTAATGCAAATATGGATTTTCTTATTCTTTATTTGTGTAATCCTTTTTTTTAAATAAAATCCTGCTAAGCTCTTGGCCTTATTACTATCTTGTGGCAATGAATTCCACAGATTAATTGTGTTATGTAAAAAATAAAAGGTATTTCCTTTCATCAGTTTTAAATGTGTTCATTTTTTTACCTCCTCCACAGGGCTTTGAACACTGCGACCATTTTTTCAGAGCCCATTCATATGTTACTGAATCATCTTCCAAAACATTGTTGTTATCTACATTTAAGGAGTCTTCATGGATCATGTATTTGTAAGTCAAAGAAACCTTGGCACCACCATGAGGAATCACCTAGTCAGCAAACAAGACAAAATAAAACCTTTAAAAAGCTTATATCAATCTTACAATGACAATCATGACACAGATATAAAAACATCCCCCAAGAATTTTAAACATTTTAACCCCATTAGAGCTGTTCTTGCTTTAAGTATCTCTGTATCCTTGGAACACAGGGATTCTTATACTGCACATTTAAATAGGCCGTCACTGCTTTGGATTGATTTTTCTTGCCAGTGTTGCATGGACTTTAAAGCGCTAAATTTTTCCATATCCTATTCTAAAGGAGAGAAAAATTAGGATACAATGATAATGGTGACTCCGCTAAAAACAAAGATTAATAAAAATACGAAGATTAACTAAAAAAACAGGTGGAAAGAATTGTAATAACCTCTGCAATAAACACAACCTTTCTTACGATGGTCTTGCAAGTGCTATGAATAATAAACTCATTACCTAACCAAGGAATGGAGCTTCCACATAAAAAATGACTTAGAGCCAGCTTCCGCTATAGTATTGAAGCCAATGGGACCGCTATTCCACATGAGTAAAGGTATTGAAATCTGGCCCTTGGAGAATGTAATTTTTATTCTTCCAGCAGGCTAGATTTTCAACTGGTGTAGATCAGCACAGCTCCACTGGCTTCAGTGAGACTCTGTCAATTTACACCAGTGGAGGGTCTGGCCCACAGGATTTACACTGCATTTACTATTTTACGATGTACAGTATAATGAGCAGAGTTTGAAAGATTTGTGAATTAAAATTCTGATATGGACTAAACCACCTGAGACCCCATTAAATGACCCTCTATGTAAAAGGATCCTGTGTCAGACATTTTCAAAAATGGGTGCAGATGTTGTTAAAGGGTAATGTACATCTGACTATGATGTGCTACACTGATTTTTTTTCTTAATGTTCACATCTCAGCTGTGCTTAGTAAGTTGGATATCCATTAGCGAGTGATGATTTCTAGGCCATCCACAGGAAATAATCAGGGAGGTCAGATGCTTGACACACAACCCTGGAGTCTCTGTTAAACACATTTCCAGTAAGTGGTAATGAGCGAGTTGGAAAGGGATTAAAATACATCACTTTTATTCTTAAAGCAGATGACTTAATGTGTTTCACAAAAGGAACCTATAATATACTATAAAACATTATGACTCAGTGTAACCCAGACACTATCTTCCACAGAAGATGGTTTTCAAGCCACTTACCAGAATGACTATACCACTGCGCAAAGGCCCCATGGTCTGCACTGTTTCTCTATCGTCATCATTCCGGTATTCCCATTCCACACCCATGTCAACAAATACTTTAGAATCCGGTACATAGTTGTCTTCATTTAAAATGAATTTCCCTGTTTCTCGATTCTTAATGGCTAGAAGTAACATAACAAACATGAATACTTGGGGTTTTCATCTCATTTCTAATATTTTTTCAGTAGAAGGCTAGCTGAAAGAGCTCCAAGGATACCAATGTCTGTTCTTCCCCAGTTCTCTCACTGGTTTGAGAGAGAATTTTTTAGGCATTCTGCTTTACCTCATTTTGTTTTCTCCCTCTGACACACAGTCTTCTGTGGATTTTTTTTTTTTTGGCCCTGTATCTCTTCGTATTTTGCTCCAGTTACTTTTCCAGGATACACCCCTGTGATCTGAACCCATCCCTTCTCCAGTTAATTTCTGTCCTATCTTCTACTATCAGAGACTGGAGTGGTCTTTGTTTTGCTGATATCCCTGTGTACATATGACTCAAGTGCTCCTCAGCACCTTCAGGCTTTCCCCCACCTCATAATTTAAATAAACCAACAACCACTGGCCAAGATTTTCAGAAGTGGCTAGTGATTTTGGGTGATTCCATTTCAGGGGCTCATTTTGAGACATCTTAATAGGGCTTGATCTTCAGAAAGCACTGTGTACTCATCCTCTGAAAATCAGGCCTCTTTAAGATGTAACTAGTTGTGCTTCAAAAACTGAGGCATCCCCAGGCACCAGTCACTTTGGAAAATTTAGGCCTCTGTCAATTTATGCACCAGCAATCTGGTTCCCTATATAGACCTTCCCTTCCCACAATGTTCCCAGGTGCCTAATGAATGTAAACTATTCCTCTTTGCTCCATATACTCATCCATACAATGAAACCCTAAGGTTTCAACGGAGCGTGGAATTGGAGGCATTTTAGAGAAAATTAAAAGGGAAAGTCTTGACACAAGACTTTTTCTAGAAAACTAAATTCAGCTCCCAGACATCTCTTACAACCCTCCACCCCCTTAAAATACAGGTACCAACGTGTATCCCAGCAATCCCATGGTGTTTATCTAGATGTCCATCACCAAGTGGATCTCCTGGCACCATGTACTGATTCCTATCACTGAAGCCTGTCTGCATTTCACATCTCTATCCCCATCCCCTGGAGTAACCTCTTTGTTGCAGCAGCAACGATCAGCCTCCTCCATCTGTTAGAACGTGCGTCCTATCTAAGGGAGTCTGTCCTCCATTCCACATTGTTTCCCCCTTGATGAAACCAGCTTCCCCAAGTGGAGGAGCCAGTTCTGAGTTGGGCCTGCTCTACAATATCCCTATATCCTGCTTCTATCAACAATTCGGTCTCTTTTTCCCTCAAGTCCAGCAAACACAGCCTGAAGCTGCTGCACTTGGATTCAGAGTCATGAGCTGTTTGTGCTGAGTACAGGTAGGGAACATCTGGGCACAAGGAAAGTGGTCATATGTTCTCCAGCCTGGCAGTAAAATAGTTAACACCACACATCGGTTTATCTGTTGCTGGTCTTCTACCCCACCCCCCCCTTTATACTGGGGATGAAGGAAGTGGCTTATCTTGTGCCACGGTACTTGGTTGACCTACGTTTTGTGTTGAAGTTAGAAGATAAAGTGTTTCTTTATTCACTATATACATTTTAATCCACTCCATTCACTAACAGCAGATTGAGCAGCCTGTTCCTCTCAGGAATGACCCTTTTCCCCAATGTCCACACGCTCCTGGGCTCACTCTCTCAGTGCCTCGCTGAGTCTAGGGTCCTGAACTATAATTATATTAGCAGTACGTATAGGCTTGTGAAGAAGCAGCAGATTGAGGGGAATGGGTGGTCATATTAATGCAAGTGGTTTACCCCAAATGAAGAATGAATCTAGTGCGATTCCTGAATTGGTCACCATTCTGATCTGCCAGGGGGCAACGAATGGCATTTTTAAGGAAGCATTTACTAAAGAGAAGCTTGAATGATTCATAGCAGAATTAGCAAGCCATTTGCTGTGAATCCACTTCCAATTAATAACAACCTATCAGACATTGCTTCTCACTGATCCCATTGCACTGTAAGGAGAGGATTTCAATTACTGTCTACATTTTGTAATTGATTGGACATCCTAGCATCGTTACTATTAACAATGGTGCAGAATTTGAAACAGAGAGAATAACAGTGCTATGCTTTGGAGGTAGCTGGGAAGAAGCTGAATACAGGATGCATATTGTGAACTATACAAGTGAAGACAATGCAAATGCTATCACATCCTCTAATGAAATTCATCACCCCATATAGCAGCAGACACACACTGATTCTGGGATCATCCTGCAAAGGTGCTAAGTAATAAAACATGAGGGAATTAGGATCCAATTTTCTAGTAAGTTTCCTAGTTTGTGCATGTAAAGGGAGGAGGGTTCTTACGCGTAGACCAATGCACAAACACATTACAAGCTTGAGGGGTGGGGGAGAAGCAAACTAAGCCTGTACAGAAAATATATCACAAATGAATACTCACCAAGATTATGAATGGTGGCATCTGTTTCTTGTACAAGCAAGTGCCTTGCACCAGCAGGAATTTCAAACATCTTAATGTACCCTTTATTGCAATATTAAAAAAAACAATAACTGGTCAATATGATAAAAACAGGGCAAGTCTGTTTTACTGTATATAAATGGATTTATTTTACAAAATTCAGGATGTTTTAAAGCAAGCTGGGCATAAGCAATTATACTATTCCTATCCCTCCATCAGGTAACGAGAGAGGAACGAGACAGTGACCTCTGGGTTAACAAAAACAGCTTGAATGTCATCAGCAAACTGATGCCACTTCAGACCAAAATGGTTCCTTATCTCCCCAAGTGACACCACACAATGTGGAAGAGGAGGACATCCAGGTTCCAGACTGGTAATGACTGGAGATAAGATACTGTCATAGCATTCCATGGAATCAGATTCAATAGATGAGCTACATTAGTATGCAGAGACATCTGCAACACAAATCGGTCTAGAAGTCTCTTCGGGGGGAACCATTAAAACCACTTCCCTGTGCCAACTGTGGCAGGCATAGGCCCTGATCTTAGCATAGAGGGATGACAACCTGGAAAAGCTCTTCACATACTTCCAAACTCCAGACCCATCTCAAAGATAAAGTCCTGACAGTGTCTGCTGTGATAGCTAAGCCTAAAACTATCTGCAATGGGCCTGTGTTTGTCATGGCAGCAAAGAGATCCAGAGTGAACAAACAAGAGAACTCACTGAAATCATTCACCCAGAACAATACATCTTGAATGAACTGACCTGGTTTCTTTGGTGCCCTGGAGAACGTTCCTTTCACCACCTTGCAGTGGGAGTTATCTCCACCACAGACACCACACTTATCCTCTTGCTTAGAGGAACCTATTACCCTGTCACATCCAACTTTCTGTGAGCAGAGAGGAAAGACAATGCTACTTGTTTATCCAAACTTTAACTCAAATGATCCTTGGATTCAGATATCAAAAATAGGTTTTTAATATTAGCTAAAAAATTATAGTACTTCCCTAGAGTGCACATTGGTAAACGTACACATTTCCAGTCATCACAGTAATTGTAGCTTAGGTAAATATATTTTGTGATTCATTAGGGTCCTGGTTCAGGAAAGAATCACTATTAACTCAGGGGTCTTCAGCCTGTGCTTAATTTTAAACAGATGCTTAAGTTACACTGGGATTTAAGCACCTGCTTAAAGTTAAACACCTGCAGAAGTGGTTTGTTGAATCAGGGCTATAATTCCGTTGCAAACTGTAATTTAAAATACTGATGAATTATAGCAGATCCCAATTTATACAAATTGTTGGTGATTATAGCCAGATCAAATAGATACAGCATACACATCAGCTACCTCTTAACACCACTTTCTTCAAAAGTTGCTGTATGTTCATATTTCACTATACGCTCCATCGTCATCAAACCTTATGAAGGAAAAGCTTCACTGAAAGCTAGTGGTCACGGTTCATCTTAAAAAACACTGCATATACTACTACTTGTGTAGGTAGACGCTGCTGGAATCGATTCCCATGCAAAGTGATGACAACTGCAAATATCACACACAATATTGTGACAGTAATTGTAATGAAATCTCTCCATTGCCCAAAGCGTTATGGCACTCACTTAAATATTCATTCTCAGAGAAGAACATTCAAGTGACCGTTTTGATAGTTTTTGCATCAGCTAGTCTTGAAAAATGTTAAAAGTGAAGCATCAGGAGTGATGCTACTTACCAAACAATCCCCTCGCACACAGATGCTATAAAAATCTTTATATGAGCAGCGGGTTCCATCATGTACCATTCGTTTCAAATACACTACGTCACCAGTCTCCTTGGACTCACAGTGCAGTTGGCACCTTTCTTTAGCTAGAAGACAAAATGCCCCATATTATATTGTTAAGCTTGAACAGCTCATTTGCTCAAGCTATGAATGTCAGTTTGAATGGCAGCAGGATTAGCTATCTGCCTGCATCATCTTTCATACAGCGGCAAGCACACTGTCCGCATCCAATAAATGCTAAATTGTTATTATCATTATTCTACAAAGGCTCAGTTGGAAACTGCTGGATAAAAAAGAACCAATGGATTGTTCTTGGGACTGTATCTTAGGGTTTGTCAACACTGCAAAAAAAGACCCACAGCTGTGAATCTCAGAGCCCAGGTAAACTGACCTCTTTGGCCGGGTTCAGAGCCTGAGCTCCAGCCTGACTGGGAATGTCTCCACTGCTATTTTTAGCCCTGTAGCTCAAGCCCCACAAGCCTAAGGCAGCTGATCCAGGCTCTGAGACTCACAGCTGTGGCTTTTTTTTTTTTTCCAGTGTAGACATACCCTTAGTGACTTAGTTGAGTTTACACTGCACACTGAGCCCAGGCTCTGACTCAGGTTTGAGCCCATGCCCACCTTCTGTCTACACACAAATCAGCCTGACTTGGGTCAGCAAGCACTCAGGACCTGGCTCATAGGACTCTGCTGGGGGGGGGGGGGCAGGTCAGAGCCCGAGCCCCCCTGAGACTCGGGTCCAAGCCCTGCCATTTTGCAGTGTGGACAGCACTCAAGCTACAGATGCGAGTCAGGAGATCTGTGTAGTGCAGTACAAACGCATTAGCATGGTTCTGGGACCCAGGTCCAGCAATCGTAAGCCGCAGTTTAAATTGCAGTGTGGATGCTCAAGCAGTCGTTGGAAACACCGAGTGCACAAGGTCAGGTCCCACAGACCCGAGTTAACAATGCAGGGTAGGCACGGAAGCCATTTTACTTCTTAAGGGGCTGCACTCTGTACTGTGCAATCTGGCCTACATTTGGGCAGTTCAGAGCCCCACTACCCAAGGGGTGGAATTCTGTCTCAATGCTCACCCACACTCGCTGTATATAAAACTGAAAAAGCAGATGAGATTTTGCCCTTGAATAGTGACAGTTCAACACTGTATGTGACATTGGCTTCCAAAGACTCTTAGGAGAGTATTGGACTGTTTGCTCCTAAACAAAAACGTAATTCTCTACTACTGCAGTGCTTGGATCTACGCTAGCTTAAGTCATCAAACAAGATAGACCATGAATAAAGTAATTTTACCACCAGTATGTGTGCAAAGAGCCAAACCATTGCATTTCTTTCTTCTAATCTGTTCTGGGTGAGCTGAAAACATGCAACAGAGCTGAAATGACTGGTTAAGGACTGAATAAACCTAGGGCCTCAAACATGGTTTCTTTGTATCCCATTTTCACACACATCTCTTGCTTTGCCCATTGACTAGTCACATATGGTGGGCTCTTATTCCACTGTATGCCATCCTGTGGGCACACAATCCAAAAGGCACAAGCATGCAGGTATGTGCATGCAGTACAGCAGACAAAGCACCAAATTTACAGAAGCAGCAGCTTGGTGGCCTGATGTTTGCAGATGCTATCGTTCTATGCAGTGAGGAGAAGGACAGTCTAAAAGAGGATCTTGATAAATGGAGAAAGGTGTTGGAGAGACATGGGGTCAAAATAAGGAGAGGAGAAACAGTATGCAGTATGGTATGCAGTTTCAATAATGTGAACAGGGAAGTATTATCCTTGACATTAGATGGGCAGACAATGCCGAAAACACAAACTTTCAAGTATCTGGGCTCCAGAATCTGGGAAAATATGGAAATTGAGGAGGAAATTAGAGCTACAATAATAAATGCCAGGTTCAGATGGAGAGAGATGAGTGGTGTTGTGTGTGACAGGAAGATACCATTAAAATTAAAAGGGAAAGTCTATAAAATGATGGCCCGTCCAGTTTTAATGTACGGCACTGAGTGTTAGGCAACAAAGAAGAACCACGAGCAAACGATCTGTTCCACAGAAATGCAAATGGCTGAGTGGTGTAAGCAAGACAGACCATGTGAAGAATGAATACGTTAGAAGCATGCTCCAAGTAACACCCATAAGTGAGGGAGTGCAGGCTCAGACAGTTTGGTCACGTAAGGCGCAGTCCTGACAACTATGTGGGTAAGAGAATCCAACAGAGCAAGACTGAAGGAAAAAGATGGAGAGGCCAACCCAAGAAAAAGTGGTGGGATGTCATAAAGGAAGATGTGTTAGCATGTAGTATGATAAAGGCTATGGCATTGAACAGAGCATTTTAGAGGGAGAGGACTCATAGAGCTGTCCCCATTTGATGGGATTAACACAAGGAAGACAACAGCTAGCCAAATGTAGGGAGATGGAGACCCTAACATCAGGCAGATCTGCCAAAGTGACTCTCTAGAGAAAAGACAGGGTAAGATAAAAATGTATGTTGCTCCCAGACTATGAATAGAGTATATCCACTAAAATATTCAATTTATATGCACTTATCTTCATAAGAGGGTAGTGTGTGGCCCTGAATGTATTAGAACTGCACTTTCTATCATACTTTCATGAATTTAAGGCTTGTCTACACACCAAAATTGTATCCCTTTAACTATACTGGTATATAGTTAAATGGCACAGCCCCCCACATGTGGATACAGTTATACTGGCACCTGTAGCCTTATTTCTGTCCAGGAAGGGGAATAAGATGGTATAATTATTTCAGTAAAATATCACACCCCTAACTAAACAAGATATACTGATATAAAAATGGAGCAGACCAGGTAGTTGTCTGATCTAAGGCCCACTGAAGTCAATGAAAAGAATCCCATTAGCTTCAGTGGGACAGGCTGTAGAAGAATATTTCTTACACACAGGTCTGTGGGCCAGACTGTTCTCCCCCTCTCTGTGGAAGAAAATGTACATCTTGAAATGAAGCGATGAAGCTATCTGCATCTGCTCCTCTTAAAATCCCAGGTTGCACAAGAACGGAAGAAACAAGTAAAGCAATAGTGAAAATTGTTTTGGGGAGCAATTCAGACAAATGAACTACATGGGCATTTTGCCAGCAACTCCTGGTTCCCATCAACTCTCAAGTTGAATGTATTGTGATTGACCTTAAGAAGAGCCTTTCCTCTATTGGGATCTGAGAAACCAGATGTGGCCAACTCTATTATCCATTCTTTGCTGAGGCCAAAATTTTAAAACTTGGCTGCCTGTTAGGACTCTTAATCCATACTAAGGAATTGAACTAAATGTCCTGATTTTAAAGATGAACATTGACTGTCGTAAAGTCTGAAATTTGTTTTTTTATCTCCCTCATCATGTTTTCAACACACTAAGGTAACAAACTAACAACCCATTCCTGCTTCCGTATCAACGCTCTGCAATGTCGCTGACAGCACAAGCAGAGGAGTCAGGGATTGAACCAGCATGGAAAGTAGAACTGTCTGTTCACCCCAAGAGGGGCTCTCTCCTGCACCAGGTTGATGCACATTGGTAAGTGGACCTGCGGAAGCCTGCAGTGCTAATGACCAGGTGGCACCTCATTGTTAGACAATGAATTTCTGTCTCCAGTGCTATCAGACTGGGACTAAATTTGCTAAGACAACATTAGAACAAGATGGGAATTACTAACCATCGAGATGCTCATATGGGAGCCAGTGGTGTTTCGTATTCTGATATTCAAAGTAAGGATCCCATTGTCTACACTGCTCCTCTCTGAAATCATCAAACTGCTGAGGACAATCTTGAGTGCTGCAAAGCTGGAACTCATAGGTTGGCCCCATGCATGTACGGCCTCCATTAGCTGGGCTGTGAAAAGGAAAGAAAAATAATGGTTAACGATAGCGTTAATGAGCGAAGCAAGGGTTTTTTGTTTTTACAAATCCCTTAGGGACTGTTTCAATATCCACTGATGTTAATAATGGATATAATGCTTTCAAGACCCCTGTAATGTATTGTACTGTTATAACCAGCTTCATAGATGGGTACACGGAGGTACAGAGAAGATAAATGATCTACCCATGGGCAAAAAGTGGGTCAGTAGCAATTCTGGCAGCATATAATCCAGGAGTTCGGACTCTCAGGCTATGTCTACACTTATGGTGGCGTGCAGTACACACCACAGTGTAACTACACACCACAGTGAAAGGTTCCGGCAGCAGGGAGGCAGCAAGGAAAAGCTCTGGCAGCTCCCCACTGCCAGAGCCTTTCCCCATTGCTGGAGCCTTTCACTACAAATAGCACAGTAGACGTGGGAGGCACTGCTAGGGCGTTTTGAGAGCTGTGTAGGGTGTACATCCTGGGGGTTCAGGCACGTCAGGCTCTCTTCTCTACTCACCTAAGCTGTGCATCACCATCTATACTGCTATTTATACCCATGCTAGCTGTGCATGCAGTGTCTATGCTCTACACGCCTCCGTAAGTGTAAACATAACCTGTTTTTAACCTGCACTATGCAATACTCCTTGGTGCATTACTTTATCAGTAACTTAACAGGAATTCCCCCACAATCACTCACTCCATACAAGAAAAAAAACCTGGTGTATGTTGAACTTACTGTGGATTGTCACATTGCCGTGTCCTGTATTTTACCCCTGTACCGCAGGTTCGAGAACAGGAGCCAAACTTACTCCATGCTCCCCAATTTCCATCCTGTTTCAAGATATCTGGAGTTAACCAGATGCAGTGACCTTTAAAGCAGTGCTAAAAGAGAACATTGAAAAGGTTAAATATTGTGTGGTGTCATCTTCATACATTTGAACACATACTCTGAGTACTGCATATCATTATGGTCAATGAAATCTGAATATAATACCCAGGTTTCATTTACAGGCATAGGTTATGAATTTCTTCACTTCTCCAGAAGATAAGAATGACTCCACACTGTCCTGATGTGCCTACGGTCCCAATGCTGCAAACACACCCATATTTAACTCTACCTAGGGTGACCAGACAGCAAGTGTGAAAAATCGGGACAGGGGGTGAGGCGGTAATAGGAGCCTATATAAGAGAGAGACCCAAAAATCGGGACTGTCCCTATAAAATCAGGACATCTGGTCACCCTTACTCTATCTAAAGTTAAGCATGTGCATAAGTTATTGCAGGATCAGGACCTAAGTGGTACCACTGCCCTCTATTGCCTATGTCAAACCTCCTCCAGAGTTTTATGGCTCCACCTTGTGGCTGCAACCATAACTTAACAACAACTAACACACTCTCATTTAATACAAGTGGTAGAGACTTAAGCTTTCGGAACCAAAGATACAAAGTGCTGTCTCTCATACTATATGCACTCAGTTTATCTGGCAATGATGAGGATTCTTTCTACAACGTACAGTTTCATTACAACACATAAAATACTGTGTACAGAGGAGGGAAAGGGTGCACCCACCCATTGTGCTGAAAGCTTTAAGATGCACAATTACTGTCACAGTATGTCTACCCTTTGAGCAAGGGGTGTGATTACCAACTCCAGGAGACACATCCATGTTCATTCTGATTGAGCTAGCACTCTAAAAAATAGAGCATAGCCATGTAGTGCAAGCATCAGGAGGGGCTAGCCGCCCCAAGTATGATCCCGTCCGAGACCATAGACACATACCCGGGGCTGATACCCTTCCCATTGCTCGTGTTGCTGTGCCTACACTGTATTTTTAGCACATTCGCTTGATCAGAGCTAGTGTGGGTATGTCTCCTCAAGCTGGGAATCACACAGCCAGCTTGAAGTGTAGACATATTAGAAGAGAAATGGCATTAAATGAATACTTAGCATTTTATATGTTCAATGCACTGTACCAGACATTAACTAATTAATCCTCACAACAATCCTACAAAGTAGGTAGGTATTATTACCCCAAAGTACAGGTGAGAAAAGAGAGTGAAATGACTCTCCTAAAAACACACTGTGAATCAATGGCAGAGCCAGGATTAGAACCCAGGGCCACCTTACTCCCAACCCTGTGCACGTTCTTCTAGATCACACTTAAAATCATGGAAAGTTTTTCACTGTGAGATCATTAAATCATGAAATACTCTTCCAAAGGAGGTGGTGAAAGCCCCATCCATGCAGAAGTTCAAAACCAAACTCGACAAAACACAAGGTAAAACACAGAGAACAATTCTCAATAATCATACATTAGAGCAGGGGTCTCAAACTCAATTTACCTTAGGGCCAGTGCCAGTCCTCAAATCCTCCCAGCGGGCCAATAATGTCACTCATGTCGCCCAGAACCTGCCCCCCCAAACTCCGCCCCCCACCTGCCTAAGGCTCTGGGACAGAGTTTGGGTGGGGGAGGAACTCTGGGGTAGGGGATTGGGGTGCAGGCTCTGGGAGGGAGTTTGGATGCAGAAGGGGTGAGATGGGTTCTGGGAGGGAGTTTGGATGGGGGAGGGAGTCTGGGGTGCAGACTCTGGACGGGAGTTTGGGGGCTGGGGGTGTGTGGGGAGGGGGTGCAGGCTCTGGGAG